GTATGTAACTGGACTAATTCGAACGAGAGGTTTAACAAGCAAGAAGCTGCAGTGAAAAAAGAACGATCAAAGAAGCGAAAAAAGAACGAGGAAGCACGAACCAACTTGATCGAGGAGGAAGCACCGCGTAAACGGAAATAACGATGGTTGCTTTGGCACCCCTTGGTGGATCCCGGAATACCATGGCATTTTCCGGCCGAACAACAAAGCTAACAAACGTATCCTCCTCATATTATCGTCGTTATTTTCTGTATTTTCTTTTCCCTTTCTCTTTTTCCATTTTTGCTCCCCCCCTCGACTCAAACAGACACCAGCTTGCGAATTTGTGGGAATGTTCTCGATGCGCTCGCACATCCTCGTCGACGAATCGCTAGAGGGAAGCCTGGTTGATCCCACGGGCGCTCCTCTACACGGTAGTTACACGCGAGAGCACGTCCTCGCGACGAGCATTAAGCGAGCATTATGATAAGTGGCGTGTTCGCGAGCCAATTCGCAACCTCCGTTGTCTCACGCGCGTGAATTTCAATGGGCACGTCACGCGAACCCCTATTTACGTTCTTCACCATAGACCGTCGAGGGATTCTAGGGGATTTTCTATCACATCGAATCAGTTCAAAAAGTTTTTCCTTTTTATCTCACGAGACAGTGAGGCATGATGTATTTTTTTAAATGTAAAGAATTACATTTTTTTTTTTTTTTTTTATCAAAAAGATTATGGTTAAATCAACGACAATCCTGAAGCAGAATTGACGAGCGATTCGAAACTACCAATACGATTTTTCATGGCTGTGGAATACTGACGGTTGAATGGAACGCCGGAAATAATTTCGAGATTAATATAATCGCTTTTGTCCATTCGTCCGATATTTAAATTTTTACCAAAAACTCGTCGAAACGTATTTCATCGAATTTCGTTCAACGAAACGAATATGCTACATTTTAATACAGTTCGCCAGATATTTTAAACATTTAAAATGTTGACCGAACACGTTTTTCACGATTCTTCCGTTCGGATGATCGTTTCTTATTCAACTATTCGCTCGTTTATTATTGTTCTCTTCGCTTCAATCGTATTAAATAAGGGATGCAGAAGCTCGTTCGAAATTTTCTATTCTTTTCTATTCTTCGCCTGTTTCATACGACACGATGTTGGACAAATCAGGAACATTATTGTACCGCAAAATTAATTCGACGATCGAGCGAAAGACACGCGGTAAATCACAATGAATTTCCGCAGCTCGTGATTGTTCGCGCTTCAATCGGGCACACAGCTGATCCCCTGAACTACATTTCGCGTTTTGCAAACAATAAAACGTAATAACGGGGACGCACTCATAAAATTCTAATCGGAAACAATTTCTCCTGTACTGACAATGCCGATTCTATTAATCGCGGAATCCGCTTTATCTGGTCTCTCGCGCATTAACCGCGTTTCGAATTTCATCTCGTATAAAAATAATCGATTAGTAACCTCAATAGAAGCGCCGATTCTATTTTAAAATTCATTTCAAGCTCGTTTTTATTAAAAGTGAAACAAAATGCTTCAAAAATCCAAAAAGAATGTATTTCTCTAATGAAGATGAAAAATAAAAAGCATTATTATTTTTACGTACATTTCAATGTATCGAAATTCTTTTCGCATGAAAACTTGTGAATTTCAAAATGTTCCAAAATTCTTTTCAACACTAACTAACTGATATTTTTACATGTCAATCATCAATATTTGAAGCAAATACATTTTCTGAATAACAGTAAAAAAAAAAGGGAGGGAGGAATGTATGAAAATCCTTTTTGCGTGAAAATTTATGGAGCAAATTGTTTTAACCAAAAACAACTAAAAAAAAAAAGAATAAAGAATGAAATTCTTTTTTCACGTAAAAATTTGCAGACACGGTCCCGTTAATCGCGAGCGGATCGGTTCCGCGAAAGAATTCCTTTTTTCCACGGGGATGATGCTCGCACCACGATAATCGGGCGTAGCAATCGTGCGACATTCGCGATGAAGAAACTTAGTGAATGAAAGGAAACCGGTGGTGGTTCACACGCGGCCGAGCACGCACGTCGCTCTGCCTCCCCGACCATTTACCTTAAAGCGAAGCGATTTCCTTTTGCACGTTATGATCGCACACAACGCCGCATCTACGGCGACGTATCTGCTAGATTATCCTTCTGTACATACCATTACCTCGACACGCGAACCTCATGAGCAAGAAAGCAACGAGAGAACAGGCAACGGTCAGGAAAAATTGCGGTTGATGACGCCGATATACACGAACGAAAGGAACAGATTGCTGCTATTATTGAACATGGAATTATCTTTTCATTTTCTTATTCTTCGTCTCTTTCCTTTTGTTTTTTTTTTTTTTTTTTTTTTTTTTTTGTTCTTTTTCTCTACGATTTGATAAAAGTGAACCTTTGTTCCTCTTCTGCACAACTTTAATCGCTCGATCTTTGATTCAAATGATTTTGATGGGCTGCCCGATTTTCGAGGAAGTCGTTAGATGCATCTGCTACCAAATAACGTCTTGTTAAGCTAACTTCGTTTCCGCTTAGTTTGAACTTCATCGTACAAAAATGCAGCCTTAATAAATTCAACGAATTCGTTTCGGATATAATTGTTATTCTACTGTAACAATCTCAAAATTTTTATGTTTCAATTTCGCTCTTAAAAAAAAAAAAAAAAAAAAA